CAGAATTATTAAATCTAAGGTTAGACTAGGATGTTAAAAACTGCAAAGGCAGAGAAAATCAGAATTTATAATTTCTCTCTTCTCCAGTTAAAAATTTCCCATTGTGCAAACGTAAATCTTCTGCACAGTATTTTAAGCCCTCTTTCTCCTTTTGTGTCCCATGGAGATAACCAGTTTGTCATCTTTCCTTTAAATACATTAAAAAGTCATAAAAATTACCCAACATTTAATTTGTTTAACCTGTGAGAGTTTTGACAGTAAATGCTGCAGTTCTCTCCTTTCTGTTTGAAAGTAGTGATAGGCTTCTCTGCGTTCTGCATTACCTGTCCAAATGTCAGCTCAAGTCTGCCCCCTGGACTAGAGAAACCAGAATGCCTTGACCATAATGATGAACTGTATTAAGTCCATAATTCTGACACTGGGCTTTTTTGGAGCACTTCCACTTTCTATTTTATATGGTTCTACATTATTAGAAAGCGTGTCAAGTTTTACTTATATAAGTTTAAAAAGTTTTCATTTTAAGGGGAAAAATATTAACTACGAATACAATTTTTTCATTCCTAGAGACTAATATGTGACAGTGGCTTGCCTAAAATAGGCAGAATTAATTCAAATTTTAGGACCCTAGTTATTTATAGTGACACTCTCAAACTATATATATTGAGTCACAACTATGCAATGGGCGCATGTTCAGTTATGGAAATGCAAAGATGATTAAGATATGGTTCTTGCCATTAAGAGTTCACAGTCTAGATAGAAAGATAAACATGTAAGAAAATCATTACATTACATGATAAAACCTACATGAGTTATACTATATCACAGAAGAGAATATGAATGGACAGAGGCATTTTATTTGGAGAAGGAAGGAAGGAGGAGGAAGAAAGGAAGGAAGGAAGGAAGGAAAGAAGGAGGGAAGGAAGGAAGGAAGGAAGGAAGGAAGGAAGGAAGGAAGGAAGGAAGGAAGGAAGGAAGGAAAGAAGGAAGGAAAAAAGAAAGGGAGGGAGGAAGGAAGAGAGGACAGAATGATATATAATAAATTTTAAAATGTTTTAACTAGTATTAGGTCTGTTAACCCCAAATAGCATCATGGATTAATTAAATTCCAATACTTTTTAAGCTCAATAGAACTTAAAAAGTAAAATTCAAATAATACAAAAGGAGGCTTGAGAGTTAGTCAAGATATAGATCAATGCTGTCCAACAGAAATACAATATGAGATCTAGATGAAATATTTTTAGTAGTCATGTTAAAAACATGGAGATAAACAAGAAAAAAAAATTTTAATCATGTATTGTATTTAAATATATCCAAAATATTATCATTTTTTTCAGAGTCAAGACAATATAAAAAGTGCCTGCAACGGGGTAATGGCAATGAAAATGGAGAGAACGGGGTAGATCCAAGTGATATTTAGAAGCAAAATAGGCAGAAGTTGATGATTATTTGAATGGAGAATTAGAGGAGTACAAGATGGCTTCAAACTTAACTGGGTTCTTGCTTAACAACTGGTAAACCGTGTTAGCATTCACTGAGATAGAGAACACAGGACGAGGTCAGATTGGGGTCGACAGGGCAAGAAGTAACAGTTTACTTTTAAAAGTCGAGTTTGAGATGCCTTTGAAACCTGCAACTAGTTCTATGTCCAAGGGCCAGTTGTGTATGTGACCGTGGTCCTCAGGAGAGAGGTCTGCACCACAGGGATAGACTTGGGGATCCTGCTGACACAGTGGGGATGTGTGAGATGGCTCAGCGAGAATAAGGAGAATAAGGAAAGTGAGGGGCAGAGTCCAGAGGAAAACCATTATTTAAGAGATAAGGACCTCTCACCAAACCCAGCCAGAGTGACAGAGAGGCAAAAGAAAATCCAGAAGAATTTGGTCACAACAGTCTAACAGGGAGAGGATGTTCAGCAGTGTCAGATGCTGCCAGAAAGTCAAGCAAAGTAAGTAAAGTGATGTTTTTATAGAATTCAACAGTAAGGAGGTCATGGGGGAACTTTAATTTAGAAGGTAAAGATAAGAGTCACACTGCTACAGACTGAAAATCGAGGAAGATAAGTACATAACTCTTCAAGTTTTCTGTGAAAGAAAAGATAGTGGCAACTATTCAATATCAAGTATGGTAGCTATTGGTTTATTATGAGGGAAGATTAAGATGGAAGAGACTTGAGCATGTTTAAAGGCTGTTGGAAAGGAACCATTAAAATTATGCACTAGTCCAATATACTGATTTGAAAAGATGGTTAATGATATTAACTGAAATGATCTCATGTCTGAAAAATATTTTTTTTTATGTATGTGTAATAATATTCTGGAAAGACATACACTGAAGTATTAACCATATTTATCTTTGAGTAGGTACAATAAAAGACTTAATTTTTACTCTTTTTCATCTGTATTTTTTATTAGAAGTATCATTTCATGATATAAAGAAGGTAGTAAGCTGGCAACTTCGTTTTCAGAGAGCACTCCCTCTTCCACATACTAGGTAGGGTCCTGAAAGTATGTTGAAAATAGACTTCCTTCCAATTTGATGAAATATATGATAAAATGCCTAGTCATGATTTTTCTAGGTACTGCCATTCTTAGTCCAAGGAGGGGAAGAACCTTCACAGGTTTCCTAGCTGGAGTAGGAGGTAACTACTGTCTCGGCCAGCCAGTCACTGTGCCAAAGGGAACTCCATCCAGGTATCTCTTCTTCCCCTTGGTGGTCCAACCTTCCCCAGACCTTTCTATAGGGGCCAGGGCTGATGAGACCATCTGCTCATCAGCCCTGGCCCCTATAGAAAGGTCTGGAGAGGGGGGACCCACCAAATTCGAAACTTAGTTGGCAAGATGGAAAAGTACCTGAAGAAAAGATGGGGAAACAACTGTTTTCTCCACAACTACAGCAAAATGCAGTCCTTGATTGTAGGTTAGGCTTCATCCTCCCCTGTCAGTGGTGTCAAATAACGCAAACATCACCGCGTAAAAGCTTGAAGTTATCTTTTACATGTGTAAAAGGCATAATGCTTCATGTAAAAGGACACGTGAAAGTGTTAACTCAAAATGGTTGAAGGTACAAGCTGCATGCAAATTGAAAGAATTTAAATCAAAGATCATCACTTTTGTACTTTTATTTCACTATTTTGCTCTTCTTTCCTTTTCCTTCTTTCTAATGTCTATGTCAGTTAGTTTGCATCTTACATAATCAATTGACGATGGTATTAGTTATGACTAGTAATTTGGGGAGATAGTCTTCTTTGCAAAATGGAGACTAGTGCCCTGGATCATTTGAAGATCCAAAACAGAGATGAAAGAAAAATAAATCAGGGAAGTATTAGAGAATTGTAGAATCTTTTCTCCTAGGGAAAAAAATATCGATAGAATAGGGCCTCGATGTGTTAATTAACTTGATTGTGGTAATCATTTTATGAAGTGAACATATACCATATCATTGCATTGTACAATTTAAATATATATAATTTTATTTATCAATTATACTTTAATAAAGTTGAAAAAATAAGAAAAAAAAGTCATCACTTCAACAGCACATATACTAAAATTGGAACAATACAGAGAAGATTACCATGGCCACTGGGCAAGGATGACACACAAATTCGTAAAATGTTTCATAATTTTTAAATAATTCATGGCATGCAATATAAAGCATGGTGACTACAGTTAATAATACTGTATTGTATATCTGAATGTTGCTAAGAGAGTAGATCTTAAAAGTTTTCATCATAAGAAAAAAAATTGTAACTATGTGTGGTGATGGATGTTAACTAGCCTTATTGTGATGATCATTTCTCGGTATATACAAATATCAAATCATTTTCTCATACACCTGAAACTAATGTTATATGTCAATTATATTTCAATAAAAATAATTAATAAATGACAATAAAAGAATATGGCCTTATAAAGTTAAAATCCAGAGCATAAAACTAACCTTAAAGGATCAGTCTCCGCCCTTGTAATCAAAATGGTAACCCACTCCCACTTCTGCTTTCCTCACACTGCTCATTCCTACACACATCACACACACAGTAAGTGGCGACCCACTCCTTAGGCGAAATGAGGGCCCTGCCTCAGGTTAGGAGCATGAGTCCTAATGAACTGGACTCTGGCCCGAACTCTGCTACCACACCTGTGAGGTCTTGAGCTGTTCTAAATGTCAGTTTCCTCAGCCAGCTAGTGAAGGTACTAGGTCTCAACTCAGAGTGGTGAGAATTATTTTGGGTAATGCATTAAAGACCTCAACCTAGTACTTGGCATGTTAATTACCCGTTCTCATTAAACACAGGCCATTAGACATACTTACATAAATTACTTCTGATAAGGAAGCAAATTTAAGAGGCACACCAATGACGTTTATTCAAAATTATTTGCGAGGTTGACGGGAAAGATGGGTTGGTGTAGATGTGTGGGTGGCTCTTTAAATATCTTTCTTTACATTTTCGAGAATTACTTTATTAAAATACTTTTTATTCTTCTTATTCCTATAAAAGGGCAACAAAGCAGATCAAACTCTCAACTAAGACACCAGAAGCAGCTGGAGTATGCTGCAAGTCTTCTAGGGGCTAGCAGAACCATCCACCCACTTCTATCACTCAGCATCTAGACACCCTTTTACAGCACCACCCCTTAGCATAGTATACTGGGACTCAAAAAACACAGTAGTATCTGTAGCTGTGATGTGGAAACAAAATGCTATTTGGGCCCTTTTTCTAAGAGGGGGGTCATGTACGCCTCTTCGTGTTCTTACTTCCTAGAGCTCTTTCTTTCCTTCACTTTCTGGCAGGAACTTATCTCCATCTGTAGGCATTCTCTTTCATTTCTTTCTTTTCTGCTCTCAGGTCCCTGAAAGACAAAGATCAGAAAAGCGTAGACATGTGCCAATGGCTGACAACATTTCACATTTCTCTTAATTATCAGAAATGAATAAAACCCTGATCGTTTAGCAGACTTCTACATCTTAGTTTCTTGTAATAAATTAGCATACTATAAAGGTTTTAGTCATAAATAAAAGGAAAAGAGGGTTTGAGCATCAGTGGATGTCTGTGGAAGAAACTCAACCTGAACATGACTCTGACCCTGCCTCTCACATGTGGAGGGATGTGATTTCACTAAACGATGAAATTAATAGTCTCATCGCTTTTTGAAAAGGAATGTGGCAAGTTAATCAAACATGCAATAGTCTAAACTCCCTGTGTCCACTCCTTTAAATTACAGTAATAGTAGGATTTGGACTAGTTTTAACATGAGGCCTGCATGAAGAATGAAATGGCAAAATAATATCCAAACACATTAATAGTCCCCAACAGGTTACCCCAATAGGTTACACATTCACTGATTTATTGAACACATACTGTTGTTCTAGGATCAAGAAACACAGCACTAACTACAGAGACCCAACATACTAGATTTTACACCTATGTGGAGGGAGACAGACAATCAATCAATAAACCTAAAAAGAAACAAGAGAATAACAGATAATGGTAAGTGCAATGATAACCATCAACGGGGTGATTTGATAAGAAACTATTGGGTGAGTAGGGAGTGTACTTCCTTAGATTCCATGGTCAAGGAGTGCCTTTCAAAGGAATTACTGACAAAAAAAAAAAGGTATTGATCAATGTGGTGACGATATCTATTTATACTTCTGTTTTTTACAGTAAAGAAATGAAATTATCATCTTCCTCCTCCTCCATTTGAACTGGAAACCCTGGGGAACTCCTGAGTGCCTGTCAAATGAACATACACAGTGGTGAGTGGCACTTAGATAAGAAAGGTCATGACTTAGCCCTACGGGGTGAGTTATAGAGATGTCAAGTTATTGCAGTGGTATCAGTAACTCTACAATGTAAAATTGTTTTTATACAGTACCTAGCTTATTTCATTTCTATCTATAATTGTCCATTAGTCAAAGTCAGAAAGCAAAACAAATGATGAAGCAGAGATACAAGTGAAGAGGAACTTAAAAACTGTAGTATCTCTATAAATGTGCCTCCAGATTATTTTCATTAGATCCAACATTTGTATTAGATCCAACAGTCTGATCAAAATTTATATTTAGCAGTCATGAAAGTCTCTAATACTTATAAGAATAACATAAAAAAGAGAAAATATAGTGATGATTATTTCCAATTTGGCTTTTCCCTTATTGAAAGTAAAGACTGTCTAAGAAATGCTAGTAAATAATGGCCTGATATATTTTTCTTATTTCAATGACTTAGAAGCAAAATGTGAAGATTATGAAAATAAGCCAATTGAGTTTTTCAATATCAGAATGAAAGAATTTAACATTGTTGGTCATGATCAGGTCACAAAAGCTCTTTATGATGCTAAAAGATATAAAATTTAAATACTAACATCATGACAGATGTTAGTATTCATTTGGCCCCAAATCAAAGACAATAAATATCATTTTAAAATTCACTGAGAAATCACACTTTTCAATATAGTTAGCTTTAGAAAAGTGTGTTGATTGTTAAATAGGAAAATGTTTTAAAGTATCTGCATATGTTCTAAATTTTTAATGTTGCATTATGATAAACTTTATAATATACTCTTTAAAATTGATATAAAATAAAATATTTAATTAAAATTATTTACCATATATACTTATTACATAATATGAAAAAATAAATAATTTTGTAAATCCTAAGCAAGTTTCTAGTTATTATATATACCCATGAAAAGAGTTCTTCAGTAAAAAAAACATTGAAAGTGCTGCCTTGATTATCTTGGCACTCCGAAGGAAGGACTTGGAAAATAAATGGAACAAATATATGTTATATTTTAGGAATAATGTAATAAATGTCTGTTTAAGTAAGAAAATTAATTTTACATTTACCCATCTTAGGACTTATAATAATATTAGCAAATGGTTTCGTATAAGCAATTACATAAGATGATATCTTATTATGTGAAATTTGTTCTGAGAATCAACAAAGAACTGTTCAGATTAAATTTTTTTCAAAATGTATTTATATCCTACCTTGTTCCAGAAAGAATTTAAGGCAGGTAAGTCTCCTGAATTAATATAATTAATGACTTTAAGATGTAGTTTTAAAACGAGAATTCTTTTTTTTTTTAACATTTTATTTATATATTTTTTCTCCTTTTCCCTTTCCCCCTCCCCTCTGGTAACCACTAGTCCATTGTCCACGTCCATGAGTCTCTGTTTAAAATGGGATTCCTTATCACTTCTTGGCCTTTTGGCTAAGATCAGGTGTAAAACGGGAATTCTTTCATTTTTGTTTTATTCCTGTCAAAAGTTCATACTCTGAATCTAATCATGAAGAAATATCGGATGAACTCAAATTGAGCTTCATTCTAAAAAATAACTGGCCTGTACTGTTCAGATGCTGATGTCATGAAAGACAAGGAAAGATTGAAGAACTGCTTCATGGTAAAAGAGATTAGAGGGTATGGATTGGTTACAACACATGATCTGGAATTTCCCTATAAAGAATATTATCAGGACAACAGGAAAAATACGAATAAGGTCAATAGATTAGATATAAAAGTATTACATCAGTGTTAATTTCCCGAGTTTAATTATTGTACTTTATAAGAGAATGTTTGTTTAATAGGATGTTCTTGTGCCCTTGTTTGGGGATGAGCAGGAGAGAGAGGGTTAGGTAAATATGATAACATTAACATTTGGAGGGAATCTAGATGAAGGGAATATTCTTTGTACTATCCTTGTAACATTGCTCTGAGTTTGAAACCACATTTTTTTAAAAACAGTATAAAGAATTTGACCTAAAAGGCAAGGAAAGTAAAAGCGAAAATAAATTAATGAAACTATATCAAACTAAAAAGCTTCTGCACAACAAAAGGAACCATCAATAACACAAAGAGACAACCAACTGATTGGGAGAAGACACTTATGAACAACATCTCTGATAAGGCCTAATATCCAAAATATATAAAAAACTCATACAACTCAACAATAGCAACAACAACAATAACAACAAACAAGCAATCTAATTAAAAATGGGCAGTGGACCTAAGCAGACACTTCTCCCAAGAAAACATACAAAACATACCAACAGACATATGAAAACATACTCAACTTCACTAGCTATTAGGGAAATGCAAATCAAAACCACAATGAGATACCACCTCACACCTGTTAGAATGGCTATTATCAATAAGACAAGTAATAACAAGTGTTGGTGAGGTTGTAGGTAAAAAGGAACCCTCATATGCTGCTGGTGGGAATGTAAATTGGCGTAGTCACTACAGGAAACAGTAAGGAGGTTCTCAAAAAACTAAGAGTAGAATTACCGTATAACTCAGCAATCCCTCTTCTGGATATCTATCTAAAAATTTTTAAAACATTTATTTGTAAAGACATGTGCACTGTCATTCCTTGCTGGTAGCATTATTCATGGTGGCCAAGACAAGGAAACAACCAAAGTGTTCTTCGACAGATGACCAGATAAGATGTGGTACATATATACAATGAAATAGTACTCAGACATAAGAAAAGATGAAATACTGCCATTTGCGACAATATGGATGGATCTCAAGAATATCATGCTAAGCAAAATAAGTAAGACAGAAAAAATTGAGAACCATATGATTTCACTCATAAGTGGGATATAAAACTAAAAGCAACAAACAAACAAAAACTCATAGACACAGACAACAGTTTAGTGATTCCTAGAGGGAAAGTGGAGACGGGGGAGGTAGATAAGGGTCAACTATATGGTGACGAAAGAAGACTTGACTTTGGGTGGGGAACACATGATGCAATACACATATGCCATATTATTGAATTGTACACTTGAAACTGATGTAATTGTATTAACCAATGTCACCCCAATAAATTTAACTAAAAAAAAAAGACAAAACAGGAACTCTTGATGAGGTTTAGATATAGTAAATGACAGCTGTTTACTATTCTTCCTTCCATATTCCTCTCATGATCAGGTGAAGAGAGCAGCCTACTGATGGGGGAGCATAGATACATAGGGTCACTCTGACAAAAGTGGGGCAAAGATGCACAGTGACAGTCCCAACAGCCATCGCTGCTAGGAGATTTGAAAAACCACTCCCAAATTAACTGATCTCTAGTTTATTACTTTATGTATTGACATCATCAGTGGAGCTTCTAATCTTCTCCTGTTTTTATGCTTGTCTCTCCCTTGTGTTTTACTTAACACTCCCAAGGCCACTGTGAATGCCTGGACCATTCCTACTCCTGGCAACTTCCTAGATAGTCTCTCTGTATGTTTTTTAAAGTACAGGGGAACATGAGACCAACATAGACTCTTTGCCACTAGATTAAATATGAAAGCACAGGAACAGTAGGGGCAGTTCTTCTCATCACCAAATAGTGAAAGAAGGAGTTACAATTATTTATAATAAAGGTGATGAAAGCAGTTTCAAATAACAAGAGGACCTCAGTAACAAAAACATTCCACTAATAGTCCTCCAGAAATTCTTCCTACACCAGATGTCTTCAATAAAAAAAAAAAAAAAAAAGTTATGTACTTCTGGGCTATCTAAAACTGAGTGCCATTTTTCGAAGATCTCCAAGTTATAAATAAATAAGTTAGATTTGTTCTCCTCAAACCTGATGAGGAAGAACCCTTTGGGTTTTCTTTTCTAAAGTGGCTTAAATATTCAATAATGTTTACATACCAAAGAGACAGAGCGTTTGGTTCTAAAGCACAGTTGCTGTTCAAAAGACTCTGAAAATGTCTGAATCTGGGGATGGGATCTTCTTTTTGATTTCAGTGGCTCCTTAAATGACCCATCCTCTGAGCGTTTTTTGTAATCTCGCATGTAGGTACAACATCGAAATCCCTGGTCCTCATGAGAATGCCTTCTAGGATGGCTGTCAGATGTTATGACCCTGGGAAGCACAGGAAACTGGAAATACAAAATAAAAAATTTTACAATATAAAGAGGCTGTACAATATTAGCACAGAGACAGAATATTCATAAATTATTAACTAAATAAATCTTAAGTTGAACTGAAATCAGTAGAACCTTTCTCCTACAATGCAGCAGTAGAGTCAATTGGTTAAAATTAAGTAGAATATCCCAAGACTGGCTTTGTTGCTCCTCCACCATTAAGGCAGTATTATGAAGCATTTCAACTCTTAAATCGATATATATATGTAAATTACAAAATGATCAAAAAAATTTTAATGAAGCCATAAATGTTTAAGAAGTAAAATAAAGGTGAATATTTATATGATTTCTGCATGAAGAAGGAATTTCTAAGCAGAAGAGTAATAAAAGAAGTCATAAGAGGAAAATTAATTTAATAACATAAAAATAAAGCTAATATGCATCAAAAACAACTTCAAATTAAATAATAAACAAAAAAACAAAAAATGTATTTGCTACATGTTACTAATTTTAATAAATGTCCTGAAAATACATAAGTATATCTTATATACACATAGGGAAACACAGTGGTCATGTAATTTAATGACATCAGTGTTAAAATCGCATTGGAAAATGATCAAAGGAGAAATAGTTCAGAGAAATCAAACTTCCTGAAAGAACTGTGACACTTGCTCTCTCAATTTCTCACTCCCCACCCCACTCTAACCTAGCTTTTGCACCCACAGCTACTTTTGGTCAGGATGTGGGTCTCATTGTGGCCAACCTCTTTGTGCATTTTGGTCTTTAATCATTCAATAGCGTCCAACTCAGTTGCCCCGAGGGCCCTCTAGATACAGTCTTCCTTGCCTCTACCACTTGGTTTCCCTTGGATCTTTCTGCCTGTGACCTCACCCACTTCCTTTACCTTACTAAAGGCTAATCATCCTTCAGTCACCATAGAAACTGCATTTCCGCAGAAGGCCTTTCCTACCACCCTGATTGGTTCAGGTCCCTGTTAGATGCTCTCCTGGGATCTCATACTTCTCCATCACAATACTCATCACAACAGTAATCGATAATTTGGGTAATTTTGTTACACCTCTCTCTTCTCCATTAAACTGCATGTGCTCCTTGACATCAAGGGCTATGTTACATTCTCTGCTAGCATACCAGTACTACACAGCACTTTGCCTTATTCATAGCATGAGTCCATTAAATATATATTGGAGGAATAAGTGTATAGAGAATGAAAGAAAAAGAAATACTAAGTGGTAAAAAAATTATTTATGCTTATTAGTAGTCAAAGATTACGTAAAATGAGTTAACATACAATTTTGTCTTTCAGGACAGAAAAAAAATATTTCTTAATGATAACAACATTGGCAAGAATGCAGGGAGACAGACACTGCCATTCCTTGCTGGTTGGCCTACAAATATATACGGCCTTCCTAAAAAGCTGTTGGCAATCTGTGTCAAGAGGCTTCAAATCTTCCCTTGCTTGGATCCATCCACTGCATGTTGTGATGGGCTGAATTGTGTCCTCTTCTCACCCCAACTCATATGTTGAAGCCCTATGTGAGTAGCTCAGAAGGTGACTGTATTTGGAGATAGAATACAGAAGACATTAAAATGAGGCCATTAGTGGGCCCTAATCCAGTCAGATTGTTGTCCAATAGAAGAGGAAATTTGGACACACAGAGAAACACCAGGGATATGCCCACACAGAGGAAAGACCATGTGAGGACACAGTGAGAAGATGGCTATCTATAAGCCAAAGAGACAGGCCCCAGAAGAAACCAAACCCGCCAACTCCTTGATCTTGGACTTCCAACCTCCAGAACTGTGAGAAAATAAATTTCTGTTGTTTATGCCACCCAGTCAGTGGTGTTCTGTTATGACAGCCCAAGCAAACTAATACACAGTCTCAAACTTACTCTCAAACAATAATTGGAAATATGGTTAAAGATTTATAAAGCTGCTAAGATACATGAGGTAAATCTATATGTATAAGTCCTTTTACTATAGGTCAGACATGGTACTTGTTACTGTAAATATTTTGGAGAGCAAAACAGGCACAGTGTGCCTGTCTTGGAGCTTATGTCTGCATAGGAGATAGACACAAAACAAATAGAATATATGCCTACATCATTGGCCAAATGTTATAAAGTGTCAAGGTGCAATGAGAGTGACAATTAAGCTACAATCTGAAGGATGAGCAGGGTTAACTGAAGAACACGGAACACTTTTCTGCCTGAGGATAAGCACCATATGTGCATAGGTCCTGCCACAGAAGGAGTTTGCTGGAGTGAAAAGAATAGAAGCTTGGTGGAGCTAGAGAGCAAGGGAACCTGAAGGAAAGAGAAGGGCTAGAATGAAAGGGCACTGAGGAATTCGAACTAGGGTGACACCATCAGCTGGGCAGTCTTAAAACATACCAAACTGCATCAAAAGTTTTCTCTGTGGAATTGTTTGCTTCCTTCTCCTTTTTAGCATTTTGATGCAAACTGCATCAAAAGTTTTCTCTGTGGAATTGTTTGCTTCCTTCTCCTTTTTAGCATTTTTCAAGTTTTCTACAGTGATCGTATATTACATTATCAGGAAAAAAATAATAATACTTTAAAAATTTGAGACTGAGACACGGTAAGACAAATACTGAATGATTCCTCTTGTATGAGATATCTATAATAGTCAAATTCATAGAAGTAAGAAATAGAATGATGGTTGCCAGGGGCTAGGAGGGGAGGGATGGAAAGTTGCTAATCTGTGGATATAAAATTTCAGTTACACAAGATGAGTTAGTTCCATCTTTAAATTACTTTATTGTATACATAAAAATCTGCTAAGAGGGTAGATCCCATGTTAACTGTTCTTACCACAATAAATTTTTTTAAATAAAATTTTAAAATTTGAGACTGGAAATGAAATGTTGATGTTTGTACAAATGTCCTCTTCTGCTGAGAGGCCTGAATGAATGGCAAGAGTTTCAGTCACAATATAAATAAAGGATACACTTAATATCTCCTTATATCAGATGGGATTTCCAGTTTGTTTTGATTTGAAAGTGTGAGAAACGAGTTTAAAAGAGCACTCAAATTGGTTATAGAAAGAAGCTCCCACTTTTGAAAATGTTTACTTTGCAAGCTCTACTTTTGGAATTTTATATGCCTTTCTAATGTAATTTCCCTCACAAAGATATGAATCAATGCCCTAAGTAGCTTATTTTTACAGAGTATGTACATGTCGCCTCCACAGCCATCGACTAACCTTACTGGTCCATCTCCCACACTGTAAAGTAGGCTTTGTCACTTAGAATGGGATCTGCCCACACTCTGAGCTCATCAGCAAGTGGGCTGGGTGGGAGGGCAGCTACAGAGCCTAGAGCAGGCACTGACTTTCAGGGCAATAACTACCCAGTGCCCTAACTCTCATTTCAGAAGAGTGCTCTAAACTGCATAGCTGTTTCCACAGTGGTCCCAGAAAATCATTGCTATCAAATAAAATCCTATGCACTCTGTGACCCCAAGTGTGACCTCATTTTAAAAGAAATTGGTTATGTAATATCTTCACATCAGAGCTTAACTCCTTGTTGTTCTTTATCCTGGCTTTTATTGCAATCACCCTTCAATTGTATCCCTTCTACCCTCTAAGCAAACACAAGCATCTGAGCCACCCACTAACAGCAAGATGGGAAACAATGAGGAGAAAGATCCAGGTGTCAGAATAATAAGACCCATGTTGAGTCTTAGTGCACAGTGTGTACCAGGCACTCTGGGGACCACGTCCTTGATCTCCAGCCTCAGAACAAATCCTATAAGGGTGCCATTCTTCCCCCTTTTACCGCTGAGGAAAATGAATCTTAGTTTGCCTAAGTGACTTGCCTAAGATTTATACGACTAGTGACTTTTCTGGAGAGATAAAGTGCCATGCCTAAGCATGAGACATCTCTTCATTGGATTAATAATTCTAAACTTTTATCTTGAACAGCAGCAAAAACTTCCCTCTATTTCTATATGAACCCTCTATTTCTATATGAAACTGCCTGTACATGTGACTTTTAACAAAGTACCAGCTATAACAGAATTCTATCACAAAAGTAATAATAATAATTTGTAGGGCTTTAGGAATTATTCTAAAAGAATAATTTGTAACATAGTCTAATGATATCATCAGAGCCAAGAGGGCTGTAAATTATTTGACTAGTTACATATGGAAACAGCATCAGGGGAAAAAAATGATTCAAGTTTACAACTGGTAAAATGGTAGTTCTTCTCGAAACAGTAAAGATAAGCTTAATATCATCCACTGGATATCCTTTAGGGAAACTAAAGGATATTTAAACCACTCAGTTAAATAATTTTTTAAAAGGAGGACATAAATGGGCCCTGGTCTGTCATACCCAGTAAATCTAAGTGAAACTGTCATCAAGACTCATAAGCCATAACTAGCTAAACAAAAGAAAGCTATAAGAAAAACTCCTTGGAGCTTATGCTCAGACTTGGAACCTTTCCTAAGGGACAATTCAAGGACTTGTTTCACTAATCTAGAAACTAAAGTAGCTAAACCACATGCCACTGAGATCAAAACCCAAATGTCATTAAATTCAATCTTGTATAGTAATATTTTCTCCACTAGCTCCCCACTATCCAGTGATCATCATTCTTGGTATAAACTTGGTAAGACATCTTAGTCAACTCAGGCCGCCATGACAAAATACCACAGACTAGGGGTGCTTAAACAATAGGAACTTATTTCTCACAGTTCTAGAGGACTGGGAATTCCAACATCAAGGTGGTGGCCAGTTCCGCTCCTGGTGAGAGCCTTCTTCCTGGCTCGCAGAGGGCTGCACTCTCTCTGTGTGTTCATTTGGCCTTTCCTTGATGCACGTGTGTGGAGAGAGAGTGCGTACCACTCTAAGGTCAACCAAGGATAAAAATAAAGATTAAAAATATCTTCTACTGCTTTAAATTGAGAATATGAAGAGAATATAACATGGGGTGGGCGGGGGGAGGTGATTTTATTTTTAAATTAAAAAAAAAAATCCTGTGTACAGGTAGGTAGAGGTGTACTTCGTATCCCTTATCCCCTCAAATGATGTTATGTGGACAAGCACACATTGTGCCTACCTCAGAGCACAGAAGAAGCACTCAGAAAGTCTATTTGGAGTTAACAAAGCCCTAGGTCAGTGATCTCAATTTCTCCTCAAAGAGGTCTTTCATTTAGTTTGATCCTCTCTTCCACTAGGCCCAAACTGTGTGGAACAATGTTAACAGAACCATGTTAAGCTGAAAAAGAAGATGACTAGAAAGCTGAATAGATCAAAGATCTATTCGAATACTAGATCAAAGTATTAAAAATCCACTTTCAATAAGTAGAATAAGTAATTGACATGGAAACTGCTTTACTTCAAGTCTGTATTCACGTGATGATGGAAGGGGAGGGCAGATCAGTTCAGTAACAAAAGAGCCTTCATACCACTTTATTTTTCACCAAGGACAATCAAGATGATAAAGTTAGATATTTTTAATTCCCTTTAAATCAGCAATCACAGATTATAATAAGTCTGGTTGAAAAGTAGTGTTATTTGAGAAGGACTAATCTTTACCCATTGTCATACCTTGTGCTTTCCAACAAATTTGTATTTTCTGCTAGACCGGAAGTTCCACAAGCATGGAGACCATGTATGTCTTCTTGTACCCTGTTGTGCCTTGTAATGCCTGGCACGTAGTAGGTTTTAAATAAATATATTCAATGAATTAATACTCCATGACTATGGTTTTGCAAGAATCACGAAGCTGAAAAGCCATATTAGATTCAAATAGTAAAGAAGGAGAAAGCTCTTCTCTTCCTATGCATGTAATACTAACGGACATAGTTATTAACAGGTTCCGAGAGGGAAGAACCTTAGATTAGAGCAGTGAGGAGAGAAGAAAAAAGATACGGCTAAGAGTAAATTTTTCTTTTAAGTTATTTTCATTGACTTCAAAGCAAAACACAAAAATTAAAAGCCTAATTGTTCTAAAGTATGAAATTTGAACACATCTTAGAGTTAGGAAAAGTTAAGTATCCAGTTACAGATTCACTTCACAAACACATGGCATTACGTGAATAGAGATGAAGAATCAAGCACCCTATTTTCCAACACTCTGCCCACATTGCCCTGGGACCCCTGGTCTGCGGCCTGCACTTTTGTGCTCTGTCTACTCTGTTCAGTTAGGTTGTTGTTTTTATTCCATGCTTTGTCTCCTTAAATAAACACATGCTTATCTGCATATCTGATAATTATGGAATTCAGAGCATCCAAACAAGTTAATGCAGGCAAATGTCTGAAGCCAGCCTGAGCAGGGAAAGATATAAGTACACTATTTAGAAATGTTACACATAACAAATTCTTCTATTCCCCAATAGTTTTTAATTTATTTAAGAAACTATATTTTATGTTGTGTATCTTCCTTTGTTTTCACATTTTCTGTGGCTCCAAAGGGCTGTTGTGATAAACAGTAAATCGCAATTTTTCTTTTCCTTTCTCCCTGGTTCTCACTATCTGGAAGCTGTAAACTTATCATAGCCCTGGTTCATGCATTATGAATACCTCGCTCAGTGTGGAACATGAGAGATTAAAATGAGAGTGTGATAAGCAGGTGCTTGTTTTATAATAGAATCATAAAGCTAAAGCAAAAAAACTTCTTGGAGATCATCCAGCCCAACCTCTCTTCTTTTTCATTTAAAGAACCTGAAGCTTAAAGAGGTGTTAAAACTTGCCCTTTGCCTTGAGTGTGCATTTGGTAAGAGATCTGTTTTCAAATGTTTGTGTCTCAAAGAGGCCTCATTCCTCCACCTTTCTTATCACTGGGAATAAAAGAGGATGTTTTCTACACTTTAACATACTTCACAGGCATTATGCATCTGCGAACGCTGGAGCTAAAAATAAAATATCATTACCCTAAAACTTACTTGGTTTGTGGGCTGGCAGAAGCAGAAGGCTGGATAAGGATTCTCTGGTAGCTAGAAATCTAAGTGACTTGTGAAAAAGAAAACCGTGGAGCAGAGAACCTACATGTCTACTGTGGGGTCTTCTAGCACTGAAGTTGAACCCTGCTTGTTCCTGCTGCAGAGTCCATATCTCACTGGGCCCACCCATTCCCCTCTCAGGAGTTTCCTGTTCATGTCTTATTCCTCAAACCCGGGCTTCTCTGCCTAGCCATGGGAAAAGAGTGTGAGGGTGGGAGAATTTTGGCTCCCTCTCCAATCAGGAAACTAAATGAGAACTAAAAAAAATATATCAAATATATCAAAGGTAGCGATTTATTATATGAACTTCCCAGTTCCTTAGAGGTCACCAAATAGTGAAGCTATTTTCAGTATTTCAAAGACTATTGGAAATCACACAGTGTTCCACGCTGACGCTACAAGGACTAACTATAACATCAAGTTTCTTTCCTTTGACTTGAATTATATTATCACTCAGTAGGATTATCTCAGGTTCATCAGGAGCCCTGAATAGCAGTTAAAGAAATCTTAGGTTACTAAAAATGAAGAAATAATTACTTAATAGAAGAAAATCAGGTCCCTTGGAGGACAAGACAAAATAATAAAAGGGATTTTTGTGGATGTGAAAAAAGATTTGGAAGTACCGATTTTCAACCAAGAAAACTTTATACCAAAGGACCCTTCAAAAATTATCTAAGAGAAACCCCCTCCCCTAGTCCAGCTCTCCCCTGGTTCTGTGACAATAACTCACTGGGCTGGGCAGGGAGGTTTTCCTGCAACTGGCATCTTGTGATCCATGGAGGTCCCGCTGTCTTCTCTCATTCTCCTCTATCCAGCTGTGACCCCAGAAGCTGCTCATCCATTTGGCAAAAGATACATCATCATCATCATCATCATCTTTGTGCTCCATGTTAAGGTGATTCAAAATATCCAAGACCTGTCCCTAAATTTTGGCAGAGAGAAGTATCATCCAACAGGGCTGACTTGATGAAACCCAGGATCTCTTCCAAAAGACAAAATGAAACTGGTATTTTCAAATGGGATCCTTAAAGGAGAAAGATTTACTAAACAACCCCTTCGCCATCAGGCAGCCTCGGGTAATGTCTATTTATAAATTGTGCAGCCCACATTCCCCTCCCCTCTCCCTGTCTTTTTAAATTGAAAGGCTTTTTAATCCTTCCACTGCCTGGGCCTTATGCCTTGTCGCCCAAGGGTGGGAAGCACAGTCCACTGCCTGATTTTCCCTTTGCCTTGCTGCTGATGGCATGTGATGGCATCTCCAGCTGTCAATGATGATGGAGTATGACCCTTATAATATGCCTGTCAGCTCCAGGCCAGCTCTGAAATGGGGCCACTTACAAGGGACAGACTGACTGCAGCCTGCAAGATGACCAGCTATTGACATGTCATATCTAGAGCTAGATACTGTCCTAATAAATAAAATTGATATTGATATAAAATCCAGCTCCTGGGGCAAAGGGAACAGTTTTTTAATTGATAGTTATTTGTACGTGGACAAATATAAATAATTTACATGTACAGGTAAATTGTACAAATCAGCATAGATTAATTTTGCCTGCTTTTGAACTTTCTTTCAATGGAATTATAAATGTATTATTTCGTGCCATTCAACATTATGTTTGTGAGATTTATCCATGCTTTTTTTTTGCAGTAACAGTAGTCCATGCTGTGTAATAGCGCATTGTAAGACTATTCTACTTTTTTTTTTTAAATCTACGAGTGATGGTCATTTGGGGCTGTCATTTGGGTCATTTACAATTGGAGCTATTATAAATAAAGATTCAACATTATAGTCCCTTTTAGTGGGCATTTTTTTCAAGGTAAGGAGAATATTACATAGATAGAGCCCCTACTTTGTGCGGGGTGTGGAGTCAAGTATTTTACATATGCTATTTTCATTATAAAAACCCAGTGACTGAGAGATTTGGATCACACTCCATAGATGAGGAAATTGAGATTCAAATAGGTCATCATTTGCCCAAGGGGAAATTACTACTAAGCAGCACAGCCGAGTTTGAAGCAAGTAGTAAAATAAAAAAAAAAATCTAGGCTCTTTTCACCACACTTCCAGCATTCCAAAGAGATCTTTGAAAAACTTTGTATTTTTAAACAGAGATATTCTTAGCCATTTTCCACATGAAAATTCTTCCTTAAGCTGCAAAAAGATGAGTTTAAGCATTGTAACCAATGCTCCTAGAGTTACTTCAGTGTATAAGTTACTAAGGGAAAGTAACCAGCTCTGTTAAAATGGCTTGTAACATTTTTCTTTATTGTTTTAAATGCATTCTTGTTACTTTGTAATATTTTTCTCAGAGAATGAAGACAGCCTGCTTCTCACTGACCCAGATGAGGAAGGAAAAGTTATAACTATATGTCATAACTATATGTCACTGTGACAACATAAAAGTTATAACTATATGTCACTGTGACAACATAAAAGATTGTTTCTGTTATTAAAGAAACAAATAAGACAACTTCTCTTGAGGAGGCAAGACCAGGTCTGTCCACAAAACTTGATTACGGATAAACTTCTTTTCTAGTCTTCCTAAGACAGGAATGTCTTTTTTTTTTTTTTCTTTCAATTTCTGAAACAAACTAAATCTTATCCATAAGTACAACTATATGCTGAGTCCTGTAAATTCTAGCAAATTCCCAAACTAGCAGTGACCATTAGTGTCAGAAATAGGACTTGTAAAATTTGACTCACTGAAATATGAGCAAAGTAATGCTTGGGAAAAGGAAGGATAAAGAGGACACAATGATGAACCTTCAATGCCCAATGACAACATAAGCCATTCACAGTATGGAATAGCAGCTAAGATGATGTCTGTTCTGAGAAATAAAAGTTACCTATGGAATTTGAAAATGATAGATCCAAACCTAGGAGTATTGGTTCACTGAATCCATTGGCTGCTTTTGGCCATGGCAGCTAAAGAGAAGGAATTAAAAAGTGCAGTCTGGGTGATGTTTGTGGATTTTATTCTCTTTTCCAGGTGGGAGGAGAAAGGGTCCAAACATTCCCCAAAAACGTTTTTGGAGAGCCAAAATGTTGCATCTTTGTATCATTTACTCCTCCAAGTGGGAGGAGAAAAGATCAAGTCAGTTTCAAGGCTGGAGCAAACTTTAGATAAACCAGAAAAAATGGAGAGGAGGGAAATGACGCAGTACTCACCGGTGCAGCAGTCCCGTACGTTCTAGTTGAGGTCTCAGTTAATCCTGAAAGTATTGAATTTGCTGTTCTGGGTTTGAGTAAACTTGTGAAGGAAAAAAAAAAAAGAGACTTCTTAAATGGTTATTTCTTTTGTGGCTACTGCTTTGGATATATGATAAAAACTGATGTAAAATAATATATGCTTATAATTTCATAAATGCTAGAGGGGTTATCCCAATCAGGAAAAGCTGCCTCATAAAAGGTGTTAGTCCAATATGACTTCTTTGCTTTTGGCTGCTGGTAGATGGGTTAAAATTTAAACTTTGAGTATCTGAGTACTGAAATCTTCATGACTAATTATTTTTTGCTATGAGTTTGGCCTGTTGGAGCCTATGGGAAAAGGTAGAAAATATAAAAGGAGAGATAATCTCCACAGGAAAATACACTTCTTGAGTTTTAAAAGCAGTTTTTAGTTTGTTAATAAGTTGGTATAATCAGATATCTGAACCTTAAAGGTTGAAGATTTTCCACCACAGGTGCATATTTTTGAGTGGGTCAATTTGGACTCTAAAACTGACAAGATAAAAACAGCTTAGAAGGGCTTGGAGCCCACTGTCTGGCTCTGTAGTCTCCCAGCCTGGCTGTTGCTAAGGAAGAAAAGTCTCTGGCCTTTTTTGAATCCTGAATTCAGAGATCCTAATCGCTTGGAACAAACGATGGGCTGAAACCTGATAATGTCTGTGATGAACTATTCCAACTTCTGAAAGTAGACATAGGCTCAATGAACAGAACTCAGACTCTGGGACTATTGCAGATTTAAGACACTCCTCTCTGGGGCCATAAACTATAAAAACATCTTGGATGCTGGCTAGACCACATGGGACACTTGCCCATGGGGAAAGACTTGTTCTCTGATGGGACCATCTGAAACCAAGCTGCTGGTGGCTCCATGTTTCTAATGCAAGGACTAATTGTATCTGAGACAATGGATTACAAGAAACCTAACTTGTGGTCTCTATTTAAAGCTACAGGTTGGGACCTCTACACACACTCTTGGCAGATGGGACTCTTGACATCTTCTCAGGGATGTCTCACTGCTATTGTCTTTCCAGGTTATTTGAAATTAGGAACAATGGATTGATAGCCTGATTGTACTTCACTCACCTTTCTGCTTAGTTAGGCAGTTTGATTATCAAATATAGCTGTCCCCAAATAGGATTGACCTTTTCTAGGCTGCTTACTAAATATATAATCAGGACAAAAGGGATAAGGATTATGTAAACACATTCTGAAAACTTTTGAAAACTTAAGATTTTGTCCTAACCAATTCCTGAACATGATGAGACTTTCTGGTTCTCCAATGTGGCACTGGATCTCCAATGAGCCTCCAGGTAAATAACACTTTTTGTGTTGTCACAACTCACTGCTGAAGGAATTGAACATGTCCTGTGTGACTCTGTTGGGAAAAAACTCTTGGAAGCTTAAGACAGGTGTCCTCCAGACCTCACCTATTTGTCTTTTCACTTTGCTGGTTTTGCTTTGTATCCTTTCACTGTAGTAAATTAAATCTTAACTATGAATACAACTACGTGCTGAGCCCCGTGAGTCCTTTCAGACAGTCACCAAACCTGGGGGTCTTCAGGACTCCCAATACAGGAAGGAAAGGGAACTCTTTAAATATTTGGCCAAAAATTTTCCCAAAGCGACAAGATATAAAGTTACCCCCAAAGAAAAAGAATTTGGTCTACAGTATATAAAATTAGCTTATCTCCATTTTTCCCCTCTAGATACGCCCATTTCTTTAAAAGTCTGAGAGAAAGGTGCCTCCCCACTTTGCCTGGACTCAGGTTCTAATAACAAACCTGGAGAAGTGGAGCAGTAGCAGGGGAAGATCTGCTCTCCCAGCCTGACTCAGAAGCCCAAGAGGAAGCCATGCTCCACTCTGGAAGGCCAGCAGCAGGCTTCCCCAGAGGGCCTGGACACCTGCCTTGAGGAGATGCTGCCAGGGGCATGGGACCCGAGAGAGCTGTCCTTTTGACCCTGCTCAAATTCTCTGCCTTGCTAAGCCCACAGGATATCTCCCAAGGGTCAAGTGGTGGAGATAGCTGCAGTTTTCTAGAGTTTGAGTTTGTGTTTTCTCATCATTCTTAATGTTAAAGGAATTACTTTCTCTTAGAGGGTAGGAAGCTTGAGGTGTATGTGTTCTCATAAAGCAATCAGATATCATGAGTGCCCACGTAATCTGTGAAAATTATCCTTGAGCTATGTAAAAATGAAGTGGCTTTTCAATGCCGTTTTTCACATTCTCTGACCCACAAGACTGCAATAATGAAAAGATGGTTTCCTCTTTATTTCATTCTTTCGATTATTTTTTTCTTTTTATTTCATTCTCAATAGCTCATATTGTGATAGTAGCTTTTTTTAGTTCATTTTTTCTTAACAGTTAAAGGGAGGAATTAGTCCTTATGCTGCTTTCAAGCTTGCCTGAGCCAGTCCCATTCTGGAAGAGAAATGCTATGTACAGAAGAACTAAGCTGCTACTTCTTTGTATATTTACGGTCATAACACATCATTGTTTTTAGACAGTTTTTATTTGCCAGAAAGCAGTGCTTGAATATTTGAAATGAATGATTACATTATTCATTTGTTCTACTGAATATCCTGATTATCAGAAATGTTCTTTTGTAGGCAAAATGTCATAATGTAATCATTCATTTCCATGAATGTTATCAAGTTACTGTGAAATTTGCCACACTTTTGAGATGATCACCAAAGACACAGGTTGTTTGTCATTTAACCAAGTGTCCTAAAGAGGGTACATCATCATTTTTTATTCCTCATCATCTTATATTATAAAAACTTTTTTAAATATACACTGTCAATGTAAAAAAATATATCAAGGAAATAAAGGTGTGTTTTCAGAGGTTTGCCTACAAAAAAATTGGTTACATAAATATCCAGTTACTTTGTCATTCAGTATCATTAAGTTCTGCAGGATTTTGGCTAATGGTAGGCTTCATAATAGTCAAAGTTGGTAGATGTTAGAATAGGTTTTTATGAGACAATACATCATCTCTTCCATAGATCTTTTAAACACAGCATTGATTGTCATCTGCCAGAGATGAAAGATCATCTTTGCAGCTTTGCCTCTAGGACTGTTATTAATTGTATGACCCCTCAAGGACTTTTTGATCCCTGAGCACCTATTATTTTAAAACAGATTGAATATACTATTTGTTAAAATTTACCACTATGTAAAAACTTTATCAATCCAGCTCATAAGTGTGCTATACTTCACAAAAGACTTCTTCCTAGTTATTAAATGCAATTTCACAGAATTTAAGGGTAATGTCTCAGCACTTTCTTTTAACTTGAGTCTCACTTCTAATAGGGGCAAATTTTTGCAATGTACAATAAAAAAAAGTAGATCACAAAACATTTAAAGGAATTGTGGCAAAATAATGACATTTGGAAAAAATCAGAAAAATTAAAATTCAAGTCTATAAACAATGGAAAGTCTTCAGATTATTAAAAGTGCCAAGTGAAAAAGCCTAATCAAGAAGATAAATACAGTATGATTCTCTTTATATAATGTTGCTTTACTACCACAATCATAGAAATGAAGAACAAACAGATTAGTGGTTGCCAAAGGTTAGGGATGGGGGGTGAGGTTGGGGCTATAAAAGTTTAGTATGAGGGAGCTTTGTGGTGACAAAACAGTTCTGTATTTTGATTGCAGTGGTAGTTACACAAAGCTGTACATGTGCTAAAACTATGCAGAACTATAACATACACACAAAGGAATGCATGTATATATAGCTGGTGAAATCTGAATAAGTCCTATCGATGGTATCAATTTGATGTCAATTTCCTAGTTTTGATAGTGTCCTATAGTTATGCAAGTTGTTAATATTGAGAGGTGTGATGGAGGGTACATGGGACCTCCATGTACATTTATTTATAATTTCCTATAAGTCCATAAATATTTCATACAAAAATAAAAGAAAAATGACCCATATCAAAAAAAAGAAAAGAAAAGAAACTTCGCTAAGTAATAACTGCAGGATTAAAATGCTATTAAGCTAAAGGTATTCTGGGAAGATAATAATGAAGACAGCTTTGGTTTTCAATCTCTCTGAATCTCCACATAAAAACCATTAGAGCAACTGTAGAGGAAAACACCCATGGACAACTTTACAGCAAATATAGGTGAGATGTTCCCATCCCCAAGTAGAGAGTGGTAGGTCAAACCATGAACAGCTAAGAGCTAACATCATCTGTGCAGGAGGAAAAAGAAGGAAGCAATAGGGTGTCTGCCAGTTCTGAGAACAGGAGAACCACAAAATAGCCAATACTTTAGAAAGCATGAGGGACCAATTTTTAAATAGTATAACTCTTTTATCCAGCAACATAACTGAACTATTTTATTGCTTCTAGTAGATTACAGATTTTCTTGGATTTTCTATGGAGACAACCATATTGTCTATAAACAAGAAGTTACTTCTTCCTTTCAAATATCCTTTTATTTCTTTTTTCGTCTTATTATTTTGGCCAACACCTTCAGTACCATGTAATAGAACCTGGAATCTGACTGGTTCTCGACTTCAAAGAGAAAACTACTAACATTTTGCTGTTAGGTATATTTATTTAGACTTTCAGATGGTCTTTATCATGAAAATATTTTTTGTGTGTGTCACAATACAGCAAAATATTAACAATGGTTAATTCTTGGTAGAAGATTGTGGTAGATTAAAAATAATTGCAACTTTTTTGCTATTTCTCCTATCGAGAGGTGGAGTCTAATGAATCTGTGCTGGCCTAGTAACATGCTTGACCCATAGAATGTGGTAGAAGAAATATTTTGGAAAGCTTTGCAGCTTCTGCTG